GGAAGGAAGGAAGGAAGGAAGGAAGGAAGGAAGGAAGGAAGGAAGGAGAAAGAAAGAAAGAAAGAAAGAAAGAAAGAAAGAAAGAAAGAAAGAAAGAAAGAATAGCAATAGCACTTAGACTTATATACTGCTTTACAGTGCTTTCCAGCCTCTTGCCCCCAACAATCTGGCTCCTCATTTGACCCACCTCAGAAGGACGGAAGGCTGAATCAACTTTGAGCCTGGTGGGATTCGATCTGCCAAATTGCTGGCAGTCAGCAGAAGCAGCCTGCAGTACCGCACTCTGGCCACCGCGCCACCGTGGCTCTGAAAACCTCCTAGGCCCCTTCCAACTCGGTTATTCTGTTGCCCTTTTAGGAATCCGAGGCGATGGCCTACGTGGCTGGATTCATGGTGGCGCATGACGTCAGTGCCCGAGACTGGCAGATGAGGAGGAATGGGAAGCAATGGCTCCTAGGGAAAACCTTCGACACCTTTTGCCCGCTGGGCCCAGCTCTCGTGACCAAGGACTCCGTCTCAGGTTCGGAAGCTGCCAGTCCCCTCGGCTGACCGGAGCAGGAGATAGGTGATGGGGCTGCCCTTGCAGAGGGCTCTGGAGGAGAGGGGGGGTTGGGATCTGGGCCAGTCTGGATTGAGACCCGGGCAGGCAACAGAATCTCTACGGCAAGGGTCTTCACACCGGGCAAGTTTAAGGCTTGTGGACTTCAACTCCCAGAATTCCTGAGCTGACATGACTGGAGGAGGAACTCTGGGAGCTCAAGTCCACAAGCCTTAAAGCTGTTGAAGTTGAAGACCCCTGGAATAGATAGATAAAGAGGGGTAGAATAGATAGAAAAAAAGAAAAAGATAGATAGATAGATAGATAGATAGATAGATGATAGATAGAGATAGATAGAGATAGATAGATAGATAGATAGATAGATAGATAGATAGATAGATAGATAGATAGATGATAGATATAGATAGATAGATAGATAGATAGATAGATAGATAGATAGATAGATAGATAGATAGATAGATAGGATCAACAGAGGTAAGATAGAGAGAAAGAGAGAGAGAATAGATAGATTGAATAGATCAACTTTAAGACTTGTGGACTTCAACTCCCAGAATTCCTGAGCTAACA